GCTATAGCATTATGACTCGACTCTATTAATATTTCCCCCTATTATTCCCATTATTATTAAACTTGTAGGATAAGCATTTTAATTTGTTCAGAAGAGTTTTAACCTAAAGGACACGCCTAAACAATCAATGTTCATTATTCTCAGGATCGTGAACATTGTGGCGTGTTCAGTGATGTTATGGGTAATGTTCTTCAGGTTCCTGCACATAACATGCTCCTCTCCTTCCCTTCTTCCTGAACTAATTTCCTCCCAACGTTTCCTGTTCTCCTACTTCTCTGCTCTCTATTACAATTTCTTCTCCCTAATTCTCGCTATTATTATTTGTCATCCCTTTCTGCTCCCTCTACCTGCTTCCATCTCTGCCAGCCCCTACTACCTGTTCTCCTCCATCTTTATCATCATTACCTACTCTCCTACCGTCCTTTTCCTATTACTATACATCTCCCTCCTCCTCCCAATTACCTTCTTTCTCATCTCTCCTCATTACCAATTTGTCTCCCCCCCCCCATTTCGAAGTATATTAACGACTGGGTAAAAACCAAATAGCCTAAGCTACTCTATCCCTTTGAGATGTATTTATTGCTTATCTCAATAAACATACTTGAACTTGGGTAAAAACTGGCACTTATCAACGGGATGCTGAGGGCCCCATGACCTAAGATGAGTGTCGTGGAACTCATTGAAGATGCTCTGGACGCTCCCTCCATCAGTTGGTCAACTGAGCATGACATTCTGGCCTCAGGAGCATGCAGATATGCTTCTGAGAGTGTCTCCCGGTCGTACACAGCATGTTGACAAAGGCCCTATGTTGTAAGTCTGAGTCCTCGCGCAGATAGTGAGGTAAGGGGCACCTGCACAGATTATCAGACGCAGGTTAGGTAGGCTAGTTGGTATTGGTCTACGATTTTTTTTTGTAGGAGCTTGAATCAAATTACTTGCTATTACTTCTCTATATATATCGCTCCAGTTCATTTATTCTGTTTTGTTACTGGTACTGGTGGTACCTGGTTTGTACACTGGTACCTGGCTTGTACACTGGTACATATGGTACCTGGCTTGTACACTGGTATATGTGGTACCTGGCTTGTACACTGGTACATGAGGTACCTGGCTTGTACACTGGTATATGTGGTACCTGGCTTGTACACTGGTACATATGGTACCTGGCTTGTACACTGGTACATATGGTACCTGGCTTGTACACTGGTATATGTGGTACCTGGCTTCTACACTGGTACATGAGGTACCTGGCTTGTACACTGGTATATGTGGTACCTGGCTTGTACACTGGTACATATGGTACCTGGCTTGTACACTGGTATATGTGGTACCTGGCTTGTACACTGGTACATGAGGTACCTGGCTTGTACACTGGTACATGAGGTACCTGGCTTGTACACTGGTACATGAGGTACCTGGCTTGTACACTGGTACATGAGGTACCTGGCTTGTACACTGGTACATGAGGTACCCGGCTTGTACACTGGTACATGAGGTACTTGGCTTGTACATTGGTACATGAGGTACCTGGCATGTACACTGGTACATGTGGTACCTGGCTTGTACACTGGTACATGAGGTACCTGGCTTGTACACTGGTACATGAGGTACCTGGCTTGTACACTGGTACATGGGGTACCTGGCTTGTACACTGGTGCATGAGGTACCTGGCTTGTACACTGGTACATTAGGTACCTGGCATGTACACTGGTACATGTGGTACCTGGCTTGTACACTGGTACTTGTGATACCTGGCTTGTACACTGGTACTTGTGGTACCTGGCTTGTACACTGGTACTTGTGATACCTGGCTTGTACACTGGTACTTGTGGTACCTGGCTTGTACACTGGTACATGTGGTACCTGGCTTGTACACTGGTACTTGTGATACCTGGCTTGTACGCTGGTACATGAGGTACCTGGCTTGTACACTGGTACATGAGGTATCTGGCTTGTACACTGGTACTTGTGATACCTGGCTTGTACACTGGTACTTGTGATACCTGGCTTGTACACTGGTACATGTGGTACCTGGCTTGTACACTGGTACTTGTGATACCTGGCTTGTACACTGGTACTTGTGGTACCTGGCTTGTACACTGGTACATGAGGTATCTGGCTTGTACACTGGTACTTGTGATACCTGGCTTGTACACTGGTACTTGTGATACCTGGCTTGTACACTGGTGCATGTGGTACCTGGCTTGTACACTGGTACTTGTGATACCTGGCTTGTACACTGGTACTTGTGGTACCTGGCTTGTACACTGGTACATGAGGTACCTGGCTTGTACACTGGTACATGAGGTACCTGGCTTGTACACTGGTACATGAGGTACCTGGCTTGTACACTGGTACTTGTGATACCTGGCTTGTACACTGGTACATGAGGTACCTGGCTTGTACACTGGTACATGAGGTACCTGGCTTGTACACTGGTACTTGTGATACGTGGCTTGTACACTGGTACATGAGGTACCTGGCTTGTACACTGGTACATGAGGTACCTGGCTTGTACACTGGTACATGAGGTACCTGGCTTGTACACTGGTACATGAGGTACCTGGCTTGTACACTGGTACATGAGGTACCTGGCTTATACACTGGTACATGAGGTACCTGGCTTGTACACTGGTACATGTGGTACCTGGCTTGTACACTGGTACATGAGGTACCTGGCTTGTACACTGGTACATGAGGTACCTTGCTTGTACACTGGTACATGAGATACCTGGCTTGTACACTGGTACATGAGATACCTGGCTTGTACACTGGTACTTGTGGTACCTGGCTTGTACACTGGTACTTGTGGTACCTGGCTTGTACACTGGTACACTTCACCCCCCAGGCTAGGTAATGGAACCGGTTAGGTTAGTCAACCAGTAATCTTCCACCATTCAATTCCCCAATCAATTCCTATCTGTTCAGGAAAGAACACATTGACGTAGAAGTGGCTGGTCGTCCTCACCTACCTGGGATTTGAACAAAAGTCCTCTTGCATGCGTGTGTGTATATATATATATATATATATATATATATATATATATATATATATATATATATATATATATATATATATATATATATATATATATATATATATATATATATATATATATATGTATATATATAGTGCGTTGGCACTGTGTTAAGCTACACAGCGAAGACCGTTCCGGTGACAGATTGACAGCGAAGCAACAGGGTACTAGGACCACAAATTAAAATGCCAAAGGCCATTTATCTCATAGTTTTTTCAATGAACTTCTTTCCCAGGTAACTAAAAATAGGGACATTACGAGCCTGGCATCACGGTCTGGTATTCCCAAGAGCGCGGACGAGTACGTTGACTGAAAGAAGCGTGTCAGGAAATTGTCGACTGACTCTTTATTATGCGTCTGACTAGGGCTCCACTACGCTAGCAAGCGCATTAAAGGCAAGTTTATATATTCGGCAAAGCGCTCCTTGCGATCATATTCTTTATTTATAGCGTCGTTGGGCGCGTCCAGGGATAAGCCTGGTAGGCGCTCCGGCTGTGTTGCTGCAATATAAATTAGCAGAGAGCAGCGCCATTACCCTGCGTCGAGCAGGTGTAGGTTAGGGTACACACGGGGGTGACTGTGCATAGCTCTTTGTCACCAGGGCAGGTGTTGTGTATGTCTCTCTCACTCGCTCTCTTCCTTCCCTTCGGTTCCTATATCTGCTTTCCATTTTCCCCTCACTCCTTACGGGCTCACCATAGCCCGTGCTACATTGACACTTCGTTCTGAGTAGCTAAATCTAAAACAACAACAAACCCTCACTCCACCTCCAAAATACATTCTCCCTTATATCTCTGCTCCCTGTGCCTCGCCCTTCCCTCCATGCAATGAATGGTGCAGCTTGGATGACAGCTTTTCTCTTCCCATAGTTTTGGGAGTAAACACAAGGACGCAACTCAATATCCCATGCACTGAGTAGTGAATTTGATGAGGATGCTTGCGCTCATCTCTGCACAAACGCTCTCCAAGACAAATTTGTCGAAGGTAAACATCCTTCAATATAGGTTGATAAAGCTGCAACTGAACTCAGAATGTATCAAATTGAAAATCTATCACGAGAGAGATCAGCGGCACTTCCCTGAGCCGTGGAAGATCACCCATTTTCTTCCCCACTATTGATCCCATCCCACTGAAAATATTGAACTCATGCTTCGACTTCAAGCAAAATAATTTGAGCCAAGCCAGCGCAGCTCTGGTCGCAGAGCTTAGCTTTCTTCCTAAACCATTTACAATGATCCACCGCTCCACAGGTGTTGCAAGAGTTGCAGTTATCTTGGTTGCAAGAGATGGCTCCTGTTCTCAGTTTGAAATTCGTGTATATATATCTGCACCTTCACTCTTGAGACCTGACCAGACCTGTCTCTCTCTCTCTCTCTCTCTCTCTCTCTCTCTCTCTCTCTCTCTCTCTCTCTCTCTCTCTCTCTCTCTCTCTCTCTCTCTCTCTCTCTCTCTCTCTCTCTCTCTCTCTCTCTCTCTCTCTCTCTCTCTCTCTCTCCCTCTCTCTCTCTCTCTCTCTCTCTCTCTCTCTCTCTCTCTCTCTCTCTCTCTCTCTCTCTCTCTCTCTCTCTCTCTCTCTCTCTCTCCCTCTCCCTCTCTCTCTCTCTCTCTCTCTCTCTCTCTCTCTCTCTCTCTCTCTCTCTCTCTCTCTCTCTCTCTCTCTCTCTCTCTCTCACCCCTCTCTCTCTCTCTCTCTCTCTCTCTCTCTCTCTCTCTCTCTCCCTCTCTCTCTCTCTCTCTCTCTCTCCCTCTCTCTCTCCTCTCTCTCTCTCTCTCTCTCTCTCTCTCTCTCTCTCCTCTCTCTCTCTCTCTCTCTCTCTCTCTCTCTCTCTCTCTCTCTCTCTCTCTCTCTCTCTCTCTCTCTCTCTCTCTCTCTCTCTCTCTCTCCCTCTCTCCCTCTCTCTCTCTCTCTCTCTCTCTCTCTCTCTCTCTCCCTCTCTCTCTCTCTCTCTCTCTCTCTCTCTCTCTCTCTCTCTCTCTCTCTCTCTCTCTCTCTCTCTCTCTCTCTCTCTCTCTCTCTCTCCCCCCACCCCACTCTTCCCCCCTCCCCCTATAACCTTCCCTGCAGGAGGAACCCGCATGGTGTGTACAAACACACACACAAGCCATGTGTGTGTGTGTGGAACTACGGTGTAAGTGCATATGTGTGAGTGCCTATGTGTGAGTGCCTATGTGTGAGTGCCTATGTGTGAGTGCCTATGTGTGAGTGTGGGAAATTCACTTGTTTTATTAATTTGTGTGTGACCTCATCTACTTATGCTCTGGCTCTTTGGTCCCGCCTCTCAACTGTCAATAAACAGGTGTACAGATTCCTGAGCCTACTGGGCTCTATCATATCTACATTTGAAACTTTCTATGGAGTCAGCCTCCACCACATCACTGCCTAATGCATTCCATTTGTTAACTATAACACTAAAAGTGTTATTTCTAATGTCTTTACGGCTCATTTGGGTACTCAATTTCCACCTCTGATCCCTAGACCGTGTTCCCCCTTGTGTTAAATTGTCTTTATCTACCCTATCAATTCCTCTGAGGATATTGTATGTGGTGATCATGTCTCCCCTGACTCTTCTGTCTTCCAGCGACGTGAGAATAAGTTCCCTGGGCGTCCACCCGTGTTCTCCGGTACTTCCTTGTCTCCTCTTGAACATTGCCGTCTTCTTCTCTTCTCTTCCTATTCTTTTCTCCTCAAAATCTTTAAAGTTGAGATTATATATCCTCTGTATCACTCCTCAAACGTTATTAGGTTGAGTACTTTACTCTAAGTAGAGTACTTTACTCCTGAGTACTCTAACTGCCGGTGAGGTGAGGTACAGGTGAGGTGAGGTACAGGTGAGGTGGTACAGGTGAGGTGAGGTACAGGTCTGGGTGAGGTACAGGTGAGGTGAGGTACATGTGAGGTGAGGTACAGGTGAGGTGAGGTACAGGTGAGGTGAGGTACAGGTGAGGTGAGGTACAGGTGAGGTGAGGTACAGGTCTGGGTGAGGTACAGGTCTGGGTGAGGTACAGGTGAGGTGAGGTACAGGTGAGGTGAGGTACATGTGAGGTGAGGTACAGGTGAGGTGAGGTAAGGTGAGGTGAGGTACAGGTGAGGTGAGGTACAGGTGAGGTGAGGTACAGGTGAGGTGAGGTACATGTGAGGTGAGGTACATGTGAGGTGAGGTACAGGTGAGGTGAGGTACAGGTGAGGTGAGGTACAGGTGAGGTGAGGTACAGGTGAGGTGAGGTACAGGTCTGGGTGAGGTACATGTGAGGTGAGGTACAGGTGAGGTGAGGTACAGGTGAGGTGAGGTACAGGTGAGGTGAGGTACAGGTGAGGTGAGGTACATGTCTGGGTGAGGTACATGTGAGGTGAGGTACATGTGAGGTGAGGTACAGGTGAGGTGAGGTACATGTGAGGTGAGGTACAGGTCTGGGTGAGGTACATGTGAGGTGAGGTACATGTGAGGTGAGGTACAGGTGAGGTGAGGTACATGTGAGGTGAGGTACAGGTCTGGGTGAGGTACATGTGAGGTGAGGTACATGTGAGGTGAGTTACAGGTGAGGTGAGGTACATGTTCTTATGAGTTTCCTCAGTTCTGTGACCAATCGTCTACAGTACTTACGATGATGATCAATAGTTTTATTTTGGGCGCGTCTGGATGGGGTCTCCAAGCTGGGTACTGTTGGTCCTAAGCCTACCGGCTCTCTCTGCCTCCAAGCAAGTCCCCAGAGCTGTGAGGCATGCCCCCAGGGTAGTCCCAGAGCTGTGAGGCATGCCACCAGGGTAGTCCCAGAGCTGTGAGGCATGCCACCAGGGTAGTCCCAGAGCTGTGAGGCATGCCGCCAGGGTAGTCCCAGAGCTGTGAGGCATGCCACCAGGGTAGTCCCAGAGCTGTGAGGCATGTCACCAGGGTAGTCCCAGAGCTGTGAGGCATGTCACCAGGGTAGTCCCAGAGCTGTGAGGCATGCCACCAGGGTAGTCCCAGAGCTGTGAGGCATGCCACCAGAGTAGTCCCAGAGCTGTGAGGCATGCCACCAGAGTAGTCCCAGAGCTGTGAGGCATGCCGCCAGAGTAGTCCCAGAGCTGAGAGACTGCTAGAAGTCAAAATTAGAAATTGCGTCTTACAGGGTCGGCGTTCAATCCCCCGAGTGGTCCAAGAGATTGTGATCACTGTTCCTTCACTCCGCCTTTGGATCACGTCATCACGTCAGCGTGATGCATCTTGACCATTGGCACTCGATTCTGTTGCCCCAAAATCAACAAGATGACATAATACCTAAAAGCCGAGCCAACGCATGCATGGTTTGCGTTCGATGCCCAGTGGTCCAAGTGGCTGGACCCATTCTCTCCATCCCCAGCTCCCAACTGTATCCTTAGTGCTTAATGCTGGTTCCTCGCGCACACACAACAATGTCATCTCTCTCTCGGGGCTCTCCTATTTTAGGCGCTCGTTGCAGCACGAGCCTGTAACACGGGCTCTGG